CCCCAGGTTCTTATTACACAAACAAATGAATAAATTTAACCTGGAGAGGGAGTCTGACAGATTGGCCAAGGTGCAGGCTAAGTAGCCAATTAGCCCAAAATTCCTATCACTGCTCTGCCTCTGTGTGACTTGTGGGAAGCCATCTAACCGGAATCTCTTTTTTCAAAAAAAAAAATATTTTTTATTGCCTTCAAAGAGAGAGGAAGGGAGATGGAGAGAGACATAGAAACATCAGCGATGAGAGTGACTGATTGGCTGCCTTCTGCACGCCCCCCGGTGGGGATCGAGCCCGCAACCCGGGAATGTGCCCTGACCAAGAATCAAACCTTGATGTCCTGGGTCCTAGGTCGATGCTCAACAGCTGAGCCACACCAGCCGGGCTCTGCCTCTTTATCTGTAAAACTGGTACATCTGCTTTGTAAGTCATTAAAAGTACTGTGCAAAGTCCCTATATGCCCAAGCCTGGAGAGAGAATACATTTTAATAAAGGGCAGGTATTATTTCCAGCATTATTAATTTTCTGTGTACAACCCACAGAGCAGATGTGACCAACAGTACCCAGAATAGTGGCTGAATGCCTCCCCCTAAACTTTGTTGTTTTTTTAAAAAAATTCTCTATACTTTTTTCTAAAAATAAAATAGGGAAATCACCTTATTTAGAACAAATCAAGTTTTGAAATTATCACTTCATATAGTCAATGTGGAAATACTTGTTCAAAAAAAAAGTTAGAATAAGAAATAAGTACATGATCATGAATTATAAGAGAATGCTGTTCTGTAACCAGGGAAAATGAGACTCAGTGTTTGAAGGGACCTCTTCCTTTGCCTCAGCGATTAGTGCACCAGAGACTGAATCTTTTGCAGAGATAGATCTTTTTTTCAACTACAAAAACAGCTGCTTAAATTTTAATCAGGTAAACAATATCCCTACCACAGCAATTATTATTATTATTTCTTACTTTTTTGAAAAAATAAAACAGTTGCTTAGAACTTGGCTTCCAAAATCATGACACATCCTTCTTAGGCCACACAATACCAGATAAAAAGAGCAACACTTACACAGGGGAATGGCTTACAGTTGGAAAGTTTAAGGCTATTGTTAGAACAATAAGTAAAAGCACACAGAATTAAAGAAAATTTAGAAAAACCTCAGTTATTCAAAGGAAAGAGGGGCATGTTGCACAGTCTCTGTATCGTCAGCTGTCACAGTGTAGTAAAAAAAAAAAAAAGCAAATGACAATTTGCCTCTTGGATTTTCTATTCTGGGGTTCTGAAAAGATTTTTCTAAAACTTTCCTGTAATATTTTAAGTTTTCTGTTAAAAATACACAAACTTGTAAATGTCTAATGAAGAACAGTTTAAGAGTTCCGTAAATATAAAATTAGTACTTTCACATAAAATCTCCCTAATTAAAACTCTCAATTCCTCAGGCATATTAACAATGTTAACAGTTAACATGTTATATTCTTATTATATACTGGTACTTTTCTATATTTTCCACACTTTAATTCAATTAATCCTCACAATAATCTTGTTTCAGGTATTATTAATAGTACTACTTCAGAGAGACGAACAGAGGTGTTAAGTAATTTTTGCAAGGTCACAGAGTACAAAGAGTCAGAGCAAGGATTAAACTTTGTACAAGGGCCCTGGCTGGTGTGGTTCAGTTGGTTGGGCATCGCCCCGTGCATAATTCCTCGTGCTCGGGTTGTGGGCTCGATCCCTGGTAGGGGGGCATGTAGGAGGCAGCCGACTGATGTTAGGCTCTCACATCGATGTTTCTCTCCCCTTCCTCCCCTCCCCTCTCTCTAAAAACCAGTAAACTATTTTAAGAAAACTTTATACAGTGTGGCTCTATAGCCACATTGTTCAACAAAATTATAATTAGGATCCATATATGTAAATCTAAATTTTCTAATAGTCACATTAAAAGTATATAAAGCAGGTAAAACTAATATTACTTATTATTTAACCCAATATATCAAAAATGTTATCATTTCAACATGTAATCAAATATAAAAGATATTAATGAGGAATCTTACATTCCTTTTTTATTACTAAGTCTTCAAATCTGTTGTGCATTTTATACTTACAGTATATTTCAATTCAGACTAGCCACATCTCAGTAGCTACATGTGGCTAGTACTCTGGAGTTGGAGTGAGGTCTAGAGCCTGCTCTCTTAACTGCTAGGCTTCTAGAAAGGAATCTAAAAAGGCCTTTGTCAGTGCTACAGAATCTCTCTCTCGCCAAACAGTTAAAATACCAGTACTCCAGCAGCATTCCCAGCCCCAGCTTGAGAGGGGAACAGAAGAAAAAAATTCATCTGGGTGGGGAGACATATCTTCATGGTGTTTCTGCACAGCTTTTGTTACAAACTATCTTTTCAAGGATGTCTGTAGAGCAAACACCCTTGGAACACGGAGACAGGGTCTCCCTCAGGGACAGAGGGCAGATTTGTTTCCTGGCCATAATAAAAATAATGTTCTCCTCTGGGACAAAGGTTGGTCAGGTTTACTAGCCGCCCTCACAAGACTAGGGGTGTCCTAAGCTTGGGGATCCTCTGCTGTGACACAAGCCCACTGTGTGCACAGCATCTGGCTGGGCCCCTCCGCATCACCTCCTGTGGGACCTGGGAGTGAGGGGAACCAATGCAAATGTGGGACTCATGCTACCCGCTGAGCCACAAGTAATAAAGTTTTCTTTTGTCTCTGATCCGAGAAGCTTGTGCCTCCTGCCAGCATCTATAAAGCAGGAAGGCTAACTTTTTAGTTTGAAAGGGGGGTAAAGTCTCAGACTCCTCACAGCTCTTGACACCCCTTTTGTGCGTTGCTGGGTTTTACTTGGAAATATGCATCTCCCAGAGAAGAGAACGTATATTTTTTTGACAGTGAGAACCAAGATCAAATCAATTTACTGTTTTAAGATTCAGGATTCTGCAAAAT